GAGGCGGGGGCGCCGCTCTGGGGGCGCAGGCAGTTCTAGGAGGATGAACCGGAGAGGCTCCGGCTCCCTTTCCTTTTTCTCGGACCCCGCGGGGACAGCCCCTCGACCCCACCCGGACCGGCCCGAGGGCCCGATTGTGGTCCCCGGAGGCCAGGGGCCAGCCAAATGGACTTGAGGCCATCCCACAGCCAGGCCGCGGGGCTGGGGTCGGCCCCGTGAACCGCAGGTGGGGGCGGGAGGCGCGACAGTCACCTTGGGCACGTGCCGAGGCGAGGATCGAGGGCCCAGCTGTGGAGGGGCCTTAGCCTGCGTGGCAGCTGCCGGGCACCAACCCAGGTCCATCTCCAGGTTCTTTGCAGACAGTGACATTGGGGGCCAACCCCTTGCCCCTAGCCCTGCAAAACAACAACAACAACAAAAACGCTTTTACGCACCTGGGTTTCCAAACTTGCGTGGTCAGGTGTGGTTCGGACCGGGAGCTCCCGCCGCGGGTGAGCAGGAGGGTGAGCGACCGCTTTCATCCTGCGCCCCGCGCCCGCTAGAGGGTGTCCTGGAGCCTCCCTGCGGGAACCGAGTTTGGAGCTGCACGTCCGCGCTGTGGAATTTCGCGCTGGGGCAGTGGGAATGGCAAGCCCTGGAGCCGGAGTGCGGACTAGGAGGAGGGAATTCACGTCCCAGGCCGGTCTCAGACTTGGAAAATAAAAGTCCAGCAGAAGAGAATGTTCAGAGAGCAGTTTTCAGGGGCTCAGCTCAATACCAGATGGCCTGGCACTGCCTGGGACCTGCGCTCCTTGCCCAAGATGGGTCTTAGTGAAGGACGGCAAGTTTTGCAATCTGTCACCACACCGGCTGCAGGTGCTGTAGACCCTGAGAGGCGCTAAGTGGCACATAGATGCCACATGTCAGGGAGCAGAGGCCGAGGTTAATGAGGTGGCTGAAGAACCAGTTAGGTGGCATGGTAGTTAAGGTGATGGATCCCGCATGGCCTGCGGCGCTGTTTGAGTCCCCCATCTGGGAACTTGAAAAACATGCAGGGCGTGTTGTACATGCATGACCAAAATCCTGAGAGGAAGCTAGAGGAGAAGGGACTGCGGCGTGGTCATCCCTCCTGGGGGAGAGGGCCGTCTCTTTCTCTCCCTTCCTCTGTCTCTACCACACACCATGCACTCTATAACAAATTAAAAAAAGAAGTGAGATGTCTGAAAGGAAGAGAGAGCTGCCACAACAGGGAGTTCGGGGCCGGAGGGTGGGGAGCTGGTGCCTTCTCCCGTCTGGGAATTGAGAAGGGGCTTGCCCTTTGCCACTAAGTCCTCAGTCTGTGTCATCACTTCTCTCCCACAGCTGTCCCGGGCTAAGTGACATTTGGGCAGGACACACAGCCTCTCTGGGCTTCCGCGTTGCCAAGTAGGGATAATAGGTGCCCACCCCGTGGGCTAGTGGTTAAAGGAGTCAAATCCAATATGCAGAAACCCAGCCCAGGTGGCTAAAAACCATACTGGGCATACCTGGAATCCCAACAGGGTGGAGAAATGGAGGAGGAATTGTGGTGTGGCCACAGTCTCCTGGGGGGAGATGTTCTCCCTCTCTCTGTGTCTATATCCATCTGCATTCTATCAACTAAAAGTAAATAAATAAATAAAAATAGGGGACCAGTCGGTGGCATGGTAGTTAAGGCGCTGGACACTCCCATATGGCCAATCATGGTTCAAGTCCCTGACCTGGTGGCTTGCTTTCTCTCTCTCTCTCTCTCTCCTCTCTCTCTCTCTGTTCAAATTAAAAAATAAATCCATGATGGGAACCAGCAGGTGGTGTGGTGGTTAAGGCACTGGGTACTCTCACATGGCTGACCACGGTTTGAGTCCTGGACCTGGTGGCTTGCTCTCTCGCCTTCTCTCTCTCTCTCTGTGTATCTCTCTAGTCAAATTAAAAATGAATGAATAAGTAAAGTTAAATAAATAATTTAAAAATGAATGAATAAATAAAAATAAAATAAACACATCTTTTTTTAGAGAGAGAGAGGTTTTTGCTATAGGGCATGTGTGCTAGCCAGAAAGACAGAGATGGAGAGACAGAAAGCAAGAAATCACCCTCCCCGGGGAATAGCTGCACCGCAATCCCTTCTCCTTCACTCTCCTCTCGGGATTTTGGGCATGCATGCACATGAGCCCGGAGTGAGTTTAAGCCGCTGGGTTCAGGACTCAAACCACGGTCAACTACATGGGAGTCCAGTGACATAGTCATTACACCAACTGCTGGTTCCATAAATTAAATAAATCTTAAAAAAAAAAAAATAAAAAAATAAAAATAAATAGGTGGGTCAGCCAGTGGCATGGTGGTTAAGTCTGCATCCCACATGGCCGACTGTGTGGTTCAAGTCCTGGACTCAGTGGCTTGAGAAACATGCTGGGCATGTGTGAGTGCTAAATATATATATATATATATATATATATATATAATTTTGCTATAGTGTGAGTTCACTCTCCAGAGAGAGAAAAAGAAAATAAGAAATCACCCCTTTGGGGGGATGACCATGCAATCCCTGCAATCCCTTCTCCTTTCTCCTCTCGGGATCTTGGGCATACAAGCACATGGACCCAGTGTGATTTTCCAGCTGCTGGGTCCAGGACTCAAATGGTACAGTCGGCCATGTGGGATTCAGCCACCTTTACCACCATGCCACCTGGCTAGCCCTTATTTTAAAAAATTAAATGTAATAGAAATAGAAGTAATGCAGTTTGATTCTCCCTCTGGACACCATCAGGAAAGCAGTAGTTGTGGGGCCAGGAGGTGGTGCAGCTGTTAGGTCGCTGGACTTCCACATGACCGACTGCAGTTTGAGTCCCAGACCTGGAGGCGTGAAACTCACACCAGGTGTGTGAGTGTGCATGCCCAAAATCCCGAGAGGAGAATGGAGGAGAAGTGGTTGTGGTGTGGCCATCCCCCTGGGGGTGATTTCTCGCTTTCTCTCTCTCTATCTCTCTCTTGTCTCTCCAGCTAACACAAGCTCCGTATAGCAAGAATCTCTCCAAAACAACAAAAAGGAAAGCGCTAGTCGGGGTCTATCTTGGTACTTCTGCAGAGGGGACACCGGTTTTCATGAGTGTGGGGCTCTGCCCTTCATGTACAGGTGGGTGGAGTTCCAGGCTCCATGACGGCCCTGAGACAAAAGGGTGACCAGGACCGTTTTTGACCTTGAGATGCTCGCACGCTAATGAAATGGGTTCTCCTTCTCTCTGTAGTCAGTTCATGCTTTTCCTCATCCGCTGAGTATTACGTGGCTGCCAGGACCAGACACTTGTGTGTTGAGCTCTGTGGAGGAACAGGAAGAAGCAAGGAATAGCCCTTGAGTTAATGGATGAGCAAGCGCTTTGTAAATGATAATGCTCCGCGTGGTCAGGTTCATTCATCTACGCTACAGACCCTCCCTGAGTGCTGGCTTCTGCCAGGCACAGGGCACAGTGCTGGGAAGAGAGTGCTGGGCAAGCCCTGCAGGGAGGCAGCAGAGGCCACAGTGTGAGACTCCCGGACACAGTGTGCCCTAAGAAAGGGGAGGTTGTAATTGCAGTCCAGTGAGGGAGGCTGCAATCGATCATTCAGTGGAGGCCAGGAGAATGGGGAAGAGAGCTCCCGGAAGCCCAGTCCAGCTAGACTCATATCTCTGAAACAGACAAGTCCTATTGCAACAGCAGGCCGCTCAAGGGAGCCCGGGCTCTGCAGAGGGGAAACCGTGAAGGCCATGTGGCTGGTAGAGAATGTAGAGTGGGCACCAGAGAGCAGAAAGAGGGCCAGAGCCAGCAGGCACGCCCAGGGCTCCAGGAGGGGCTGCCCAGCTGGACAAGGGCAGGGTGTGAGGGGAAGGTGGCCTTGGCTCCCTGCATCCTGAGTCAGAAGACCGAGCTGCTGTCCGGGTTCCCCCGCCCAGTAACGGTGTGGCTTCAGGTCACTTAATTCACCAGCAGTACGTCAGTTTCTTTACTTATAATAGCATCTACCTCCCTGGGCTGCTGTGAGGACTAAATGAGCCTGCCTAGTGCCTAGTGCATTTTAAGCACTCAACGCACGTTAGCTGTTATGATTTGGAAAGCTCTGGGGAGAGAGAGGAGAAGAGAACGGAACTGCTGCAGCGCGGCCACTACGGAAGAGGTGTAGCTGTGAGCTCCCGTGTTCCGGGACCGTACATCTCCATGTGAGGTCCATTTCGAAAAGCATCTCATCTTGAAACAATTCAGCCAGTCGCCTTTGGCTTCCCTTTGGCTTACTTTTCTCCCATGGTCTTCAGGAGGAATCCAAAGTCCTCAAAGTGGGGTGTGCCCAAGGCCCACGTGGGCTTTATGGACTTTAAGGCCACCCCTGCGGGCATGGACCACCCCAGCTGCATGGAGCTCCGGGCTGTCTCCGAAAGGTGCGAGATGCCCAGGCCTGAATCTTTGCACATTTGCTTCCCTTGAGGTGGAACTGCACCTGG